GATTCCGGCTCCGGCCATCCTGTGTGGAGTTTGCAGGTTCTCTCCATGCCTGCGTGGGTTTTCACCGGGTACTCTGGTTTCCTCCCACATTCCAAAAACATGCAAGGCAGGTTAATGGAACACTCTAAATTGTCCCTAGGTGTGCGTGTGCTCACGCACTCTGATCGCAAGCTGAAACGGCTGACTGCTGACCGCTAACAACTTCCGGTGATGGAGATCATTCACCACCGTCGGTTAAAGGTGACCTGCTTTTTAATTTTTTAATACCTTTTTTTTTTTGTGAAACTGATGGGATGCTTAGGGTGCAGTGTGCACTAATACAAGCATATCTAGTATTAATAACACGCACAGACACACACAAATTTTTTTCACCCATTTCCCCCTACAACCCTTGTGATCGACTTGGGCCCAGTCCGTGGGCTACCGGTCGATCATGATCGACGTATTGGGCATGCCTGATTTAGAGTGTTCACTGCCATCTTACAGTGTCCAGTACGTCAAATGCGTTTACACTAATGAAATTAGACTGCAATGAAGACTCAATCAGTAACGGTTCACTCACAGGTATTTGTACTTCATCTCCCCCTCCTTGTCTAACACCCACTCCCTATCATCTGTTCATGAAGGGAACTCTCAAGTGTGCAAGATATTATTAATGACATCTGGATTCCAGGATTCCACTGCTTTGTTACAGTTGCAACAGCTTACAGAACAGAGGCATAGTAAATTGATTATATACCTGTGATCACGCTGGTCAACATGCTCTCTAAATTAATACAGAGTTGCAAACAGGGGGTTATACACCTGATGGTATTATTCATTAAAAATTGTTCCTTGCGCCAAAATAGAGAGGTGTTATGCTAGCCAATCAGAGCTGTCAATTCTTACTTAGGAATTGGTGGCTGATTTAACCTCTCCAAGCACTTTGAATGCATTACAACACAATATGAAACTCTTATTTTCAGTTAGCGGCCCGGTGGTCGACTGGTTAGGTCTCATGGTGCAGTGCATGGTTCAATTCCAACTCCGGCCTTCCTGTGTGGAGTTTGCATGTTCTCCCCGTGCCTGCATGTTTTTTTTTCTGGGTACTCCGGTTTCCTCCCACATTCCAAAATCATGTGTGGCAGGTTAATGGAACACTCTAAATTGTCCCTAGGTGTGAGTGTGAGCGTGAATGGTTTGTTGTCTATGTGTGCCCTGCGATTGGCTGCAAACCAGTTCAGGGTGTCCCCCACCTCCTGCCTGAAGACAGCTGGGATAGGCTCCAGCACGCCTCGTGACCCTTGTGAGGATAAGCGGATCAGAGAAAGAATGGATGGATGGATCTAGTCAGTTAAAAAGCAATGCTCGCTTTGTACCCCCCCACACACCTTCAAACTGGTTGAAACTCATTTAAATTAAGAATCTACATTTAAGTTTCTGATCCAGAAAATTGTTTCAAACGTTTCTCCTTATTTTATCTCTTCACTCTGTGTTTGTTAATTCACCTGGATGTATGTTCTACTGTATAATGAAGTCTCCAGCGTGTCAACAACACAGAATTTCTCAGCGCTACCCTTTAAATAGTGATACTTACCAATGCTGAATTCGACGTTCGCAGTCCTTCACCACCTGTTATTACAGGGACATGAATTCACAACATATGATGATGGGCAAGTATAAATGCTGAAATGTAAAATGTACTGTATTTCAGGAAAATGGACACTTCTATTTTTTTTGTTGACTGATATTGTGAAACAACAAGCAATTCATACATTGGGAAATTTGTAATACTAGTCCATGACTCACAACTGGGATCCACAGCCAGAATATATTTTTAAAAATAAATATTTCAAAAATACACTCAACATAAGGTACACCTAAGGTACAATTCAGCACAAGAGCAATTTAAATTCTGGGAGGCACACATACTCTATCTTTATGAAGAACGTAAAGACAGTCATTTTGCTCTTGAACGCCTGTTTGTACAACAATGGGCTATACTAACGCGTTTCGCGATTTAGTTGTCATGGAGTAGTATTGTGACCAAAAACAAAAACACGCACACAGAGATCGTCAATTAGGTGGTCATTTTATGACGCAATACAAACAAAATCAGGAAGTGGTAAAAAAATGTTACTGTTCATGTCAATGACAATACTAGTATCACAGCTATCAGTAAAACTTCCTACAGTATCTTGGAAAATCCTCTTGTTTGTAGTTCCATGTGCCTTTACTGTGTGCTGTGACTTCTAAAAGTCGAGTAGAGCGGCGAGGTTAGGGGCGCGTTTGCATGCAAAACACTTACACGCTACGTTAGCCTGCTTAGCTAATTCGCCAACTCCTTCACTTTCGTTTACCCACGGCAAACATGTAAAGGTTAAACTGGCAGCCTTGCATCGACTTAATTACACGTCATGCTTATATGAAACGAAACGTGAATCTTTTTGATTTTCTTTTTGGATAAAACGACCAAGACGGTGACTTGTGAGCTCAAGTGGTTTTACAAAGTAGATTCTGGAAAATTAAACGTCGTGGGTACAAGATTGACGTGACATGCTGGTGACACTGGTTTACCATGTGATCTGTTTATTGCACAACAGAAATAAGGTTGGCCCAAACGTGGTCCAAAAACGCCCCCCTGGTCCACCGCGTGGTCAGCAGCCGGGGTTCGACTAGACGCCCCTTTAATACCATCGTACATGCTTTTTGTCATGCTGATTAGTTACCTTTTCGTGTTCCTCTCGGAGCCTGGTAACTCCGCCGGGGTCCTCCATGTTGATTTCACTCTTTTCGTTCTTTATCATCTCAAGGGCAGAGCAATATTTTGGGGTAGTTTTGGTGAGCAAGAAACAAAGCTCAAATGTTGTTGTGAGTCCTAAAGAAGTGTTTATGAGTGCAGCAAGAGCCTCTTCTCGGACCCACTTTAGTCGAAGTCATCAACGTGTCAGCGGCAATGATCCACACTTTTGGAAGCAATAACATCTCACACTCCAATTTCAGGATCCCCGCATCCTTCCCCTCCAAAAATGCAAAGACAAAATGCCCAGTAAAAATGATTTCCTCTTCGACCTCTCCACTCTCCACCAGACTACGAAATGGCACTGAATGGGCTGGAGTTAAAGCAAAACATCCTGTTTGATTTGCGAGTTCTTTTCAGAATAAATTATAAGTGAACTGAAAACAAGATGATATGGATGACTGCCTCGCAAGCTTGTCACCCAAAACAATATCTGAAACAAATATAAAATCAATTCACCATAAATTCAAATTATTTTGCTAGCACTGGAGTGTGAAACACGTTGTAACTTTCAGGGTAGTACTGAAGCTTTTATTTTGAAGAAACGTTTTCGTTTCCTGTCATGCCATGGAGTTTAGCTCACTAATTGTCAGTGCATTGTGGCAAATCTGCTCTGCGACGTAAACAATGTTCTCGACAAGAATCAGTTTAAATCATTTTAATTTAATTTGTCACACAACAATGGATATCTAGCTGTTCTTTATTTGCACAATCATCGTATTACAAACCTCATTCTCGACACCCGCCCCCTCCAACTCACTCGCCTCAAATATATCGGTTGGACTGTCAGCTACAGATTTAAGTTCCCCAAAACTATCCTTTATATCTTATCGATGTCCTTAAAATAAACGCGATAAGGAAGAGTATTTGTGAAAATCATTTTCCCCTTAACAGAACTCTGCTCAAGACGAGGAAGTCGTTGTTTGTTATTGTTACGAGAGGAAATGTTGGTGACATACAACGGTGGGCATCGTCATAGCATAGCGAGCCAACGCTGAAGTGGTTGATCTAATTAAACATTGTGTTTCTGCTATGAGATAGATTACTGAATCACGCATGATGATGAACATTTTGAGTCATAAATAGGTGTGTTTTGCCTTATTTTTATTTCTTCCTCCTGACTTCGATGGTTTAATTTCGCCCCCGCCCCCCATTTCTTGTCTGTACTTCTCTTATTTTCAGCTCTTTTTTTCCTCGACGTATAATTTTGCCTCATGATAAAAAAAAAATGCAAACATGACAGGATTCTTATAGGACTTTTTCACTTGTTTCCGAAATTGACATGGTAAACTGTTTTACTCATTTCTGTCAAACCTTTATAGCACAGGTGCCAAACTCAAGGTCCCCACGGCCAGATCTGGCTCGCCACATCATTTTATGTGACCTGCAAAGGCAAATCGTCTGCATGTACTTTACTGAAAAAACTTCACAATACTAGAAATGTAATTTATTTTGAATAGGTGGTTCCTTAAGAGCTCTTAAAATCTGGCAAAAAAAAAAAAATACAATACTTAAAATACACACACGTACTAACGTAGTTATATATTTTTTCTTTGATGATCCATTTTTGTGGTTGTTATTTTGTATAGTGTTATTGCGCTGCTACTGCTATTGTTCTGTTTTTGCACTTTAAAAGAAAAAAAAAACATTTTTTTACTTACATGTACTACTGTATTTATGTTTTACATGAATGTTTGAAATTCATTGCTCTTAGGCCTTAGACTCACTGATGATTTGATTGTGCTCTTCTGGAATTTTCTTTTTTTATGCTGAGAGCCGCAATGAAAATAAGGTCTCTGGCTTTATTGGGTTTTTATCATCGGCGATCAATCAATCAATCAATCAATCAATCAATCAATCAATCAATCAATCAATCAATCAATCTTTTCTTTTGTTTGTTTTGGAGTGATTACGTGTTTTTTCACTTTAAAATTGTTTATCAGAAATAAGTTAAAAGCTTAAAGTATTAAAGGTTTAAGTGTAAAAAGTTTGATTTTGTGGTACATTTTTTGTAGCACTATGTAGCCCGAATAAATAAAGATATATTTTTTTTATCATAAACGTAAAAAAAATTGCGCTTATTTTGTATTAGTATGCATAATTTTACGTTGGTTTTGAAATACATTCATTTAAGTCACAACAAATGTGAAGAAGAAGGAGGAGGTCTAAGAGCCGAAAGTGCCGAGCCGGTTCTCTCAAAAGAGCCGGAATTTCTCAGCATCCACGCCACGTGACCATCTACTTCCGTTTCTCCTCTGGACGTCTACGTCGAATGACGGTGTTTCTGCCAAACATAGGACCTTTAATTTAAAACGAAACAACACAAATCCAACCGATCATAATGAAGAATTCCCAATACAGACAAGGTACAGTGGCCAATATGTATAAATTTTTTCAGGGAGTTCTTTTTTTCTTTTTGCATTTGTTTGTATTGCGTGCTGAAATATTGTTTATGTTATTGCCTTTTAAAAGGTAAAATAGTAATTGCATCCATTATTCACAGGGTGTTGCACTAATGTATCTAGAACCTGACTCCAGTTTAACATTGTTGTAGTCATGTAATGTTTTTGGTTTTATTTAAACTACAGCGTATTTACATGAGTTTATTTTTCTTTTTTTTCCAGACTGTCCATCCTCCGTCAAACCTCTTTCTGACCAATTACATTTTCCAGTAAGGATCCCCGGAATGTTAAAAAGATACAATATTGTTAATCCCAAAAGTGAAATGATCAATGACTATAAATGTGATGTTGTGAAGCTAAATGGCATTATTTAGCACACATTTCAAAGTAGATAAGAGTAGCAGCTTTGCATCATTTCCAAAATACAGAGAATGTGTCATCGGCTTGAAGATATCATGAAGCTCTGCTGTGAGTTATCTGCTGATAAACAGATCCAGACCACAGTCAAGGGCTCTGGTAAAGGGGCAGCAACAGCTGGAGGCCTGGCCTTTGCTGGAGGCTTGGTTGGGGGTCCTCTTGGTATTGCAGTCGGTATGCTACACATTACATTACTTATTGAAATGAGTAACGTTGCACAATCCCATACTCAACAATATTTTAAAACTTGTCTCTTTTCAGGTGGTGCTATTGGAGGCCTTCTTGGCTGTTGGCTGACCAGCGGTCAGTTCAAACCTCTTCCTCAGGTCATTATGGAGCTCAGTCCTCAGCAGCAGCAGAAGCTATACGCCGATCTGGTTGCCATCCTTGGGGATATTCAGTGGACCGACGTGGTGCAGCTAACTGGTCTTGTCATGAGCAACATCAGTCTGAAGCAGCAGCTCACGGCAGCGCTTCTTGGATTTGTTACTAAGGAACTCCAAGCAAATGTGCACTATGTGGACTAGTGCGTGTAAGCGCACAGGCTCCACGCCCTGACTTTTGGTAAGGACATGATTTAGTGTGTGCCCGAGCAGACTGCTAAGTGCTTTCCAGAAACAACAGTAGGATACACTGACTTATACTGAGAACATATTTATTTGTGTGTAATCCATTGTGCCATTGTTTGTTTGTTTTTTTTTGTTGTTGTTGTTGGGAGCACACATCCCATCAACACCAAAATTATCCTCTTGTGAAGTCACCTCCTTTACCTGGGAATGATACTTGTGTGACCAGGATATGAATAATGTATTGTTCATGTTTATTCTGAACTGTTTTCACGACTGTGATTGAAGCTGCAATTCAGTGAAGATCTACAATGATCCCTCGCTATTTCGCGGTTTGTTTAACACGGCTTCAGTGCATCGCGCATACATGGCAATTTTCCGCGGATTCGCGGAAATCCGCCGTTTTATTTCTTAAATTGATCATTTTTGTGAATCGTCTAAATCCGTTGAGAAAATTTTAGGGGCGGTCAGGTACCTTATCGTCGAGTTTTCACGAGCTCTCCCGAACAGTCTCTCCGTTTTCCGTTTGTAAACAGCCCTGCGATTGGACGTGTATGAAAGCTTCAACTAATCAGATCACTGAAGGCATTATTTGTTGCGGAAGTCTTAGCTCGATTATAAACGGCCCAGCGATTGGTTAACTACAAGCGATTGGACCAATCAAATTGCATGTAACATATTGCTTTACCTGATTCATGGCGGCCTGTTCGTCTCGCAAATTCATTGTTCTGGGATCGTTTTGAGCGGAATTATGAAAATTTTGACGAAAGATCAGGAGTCTTTAATCCTAGAAATTGACTCAAATGTCAAGAATAAATT